AAAATAAAAGTAGACAGTAACTAGTTAAAGCAATTGAAAATAAATCACAGATTTATTACTGCAAGCTTCGTTCAAATATTTAAAATATGTGGGATGATGACATTTTGAACAAACCCTGTTTAACATCGTTCAGATAAGGCATGACACTTTACCCCCCCCCCCCAAAAAAAAAATTGTCAATCACAAAACAGTAAAAGATACTATTTCACATCACAGACATCTGAAACAGTTTTTATTGTACATTTCTTATGATGGCTAGGCCTGTTTGTGATATTTGTAAGCTCTTGCTCAAACCTTTCAGGTGAACAATACTGACTTTGAGATTTTCAATCGATTTTGTAATGATCTTATTTAATGCGACTTTGATGGCAACTCAGGTTTCAAGACATCATTAATCAAAACTAGTCCGACGGACAAATATTATAAATAGCTGCGAATTAAGAAGAAAAGACGACAGTAAATGAAATATCTGCTGATTTGATCATACTTGACCGGATGTAGAACTCATTCATAAACCTTTGCATGAGTCAAAAATAAGGTTTACAATCTCGAAGGTAAAACAATTGATAAATATTTTGATCGTGATGTAATCTATACGATTCAAAAGGAACTCTTTCATCACCAAAATACCACGAGGATTGATTTAATCTTTGGCGTATTTACTATCATATATAGCAGCCCAAATTTTAATAATTGAATATTTCATTAGTGGTTTTTACAAGTACACAAAATTGGTCGTTGTGTACAAAGAATTTTAATAGTCCTTGTATAAATAATTTCCTTTTTGACTAAATTGTCATCGACTCAGCTCCGAAAACTGAATGAAGACTTCTTTGCTTATTCACCACTGACCACTGGTGCATTTTCTATTTGTATTAATTTGATAATATAGCAATTGCTTCACAACGAATTTGCATTGTTTTTTAGATAGTATCCTTGTTTTTGTAGCATGCTTCTGTTTATCTGGGAATTTTTGGGACTTAGGTTATTTACTTTTTGTGAGTGAAACAAAAGACGTTCATCGAAAACGAAATGGATTTTAGATTTTATTTGCGAATGAGTTAAACGTTTATGACAGTTGGCTGCAAAAGGACCATTAAAATGTCATATGCTTTTTATCGATAATAAATTATTGATGATAAATCTATTTGTAATTGTTAATATTTACCGCTTGTTCTGGAACTGCCTTCCGTCGATGAATAAGAAAGATACTATTTTATTTTCTTTATAAATATAGAAAAGTACATATATTTATATAATAAAACACTTTCCATAGTGTCAACCTATATGTCATTAAAGCTATTAAAAAAACGGAAAAAAAAGGAAAAATATGACAGAATGGGTTTGGAAAAAATTTCCGGAAAGAACATGGGTTTAAGATGAATCTGAGATCGCCATAAATCAATGTCGTTTCCGAGGTGAGCATAGGAACAGCAAATGATTTTTCCAGAGTAGCGAGCAGACAGTCCCAATATATTAAAGGAGACAAAAAAGAGGGGGAAATGAAAAACGTAATCATAGGAAATTAGTCAGATGTCGTATCACTAAAACAGTAGTCATTCCATAGAACTGAAAAATAAGCAATGATATTCAGCCAGGCGGAAAGTTTCCTATTAATACAATAAAAAGATTAAGACTGTGGGGCATTCATTAAAAATACTAATACTAAGATGAAAAGCAAAACAAAAAAGTAAATGAAAATCATGGCAGTAGTTTTAATTGGAAGAGAATATTTAAGCATTCTCAAACATGTAGTTTGATAATATTTTGGTTCGAATCACGTGGTCCTGCCAATAATAACAGTTTTTACGATTTTATATCTTAATAAAAAACTGATTGTTATTTGCTGTTATGGCACTCGGTCACAACTTAATAACCGAGTTCATTTCCTGAAATGAATAACAATTGTACATGTGCCTCTCTCCTTTCAGAAGTAGCCGATCATATTTCCTCACAACTTCCTTTCCCCTTATCGCTTTTAGAGATGTTGCCATTTTTAGTGTACCCCCGCAATTCCTTTTCTGCCATTTATTTATTTATTTCTTAAGTAGGTTATTCACCGTTCCTTCTTCGCCCCCACTCATACTTTCAGTATGCTTTGAGAATGTAAAGTTCTCCAAGCCTCCTTGGGGTATGTGTCCGAGAAATCTCAACTGTTTCTTTCTAAAACTCATTCGTTCCTCACATATTCCACCTATGGAGTTCTTAGCATTAATCAGATCAGAAATAGATCTCTGTTGCCTCAAGTATCCTCCTCATCGCTAAGGAAATTGTTTCTAATTCACTGCCGTATAGGGGGATTGATATTACATATAAGTTCAGCACTTATGTTTTTTATTATCTCTAACGAAAATTTCACGTTTCCTTTGATTCCCTTTCGGAATATTTATTTCAGTAGTCTAATGCGCCTATTAATACATTTAAGAATTTTTGGAAAAAATTCGCTCCTAGCAAAACGTCAGTTGAAGGAGTACTCCCTATTGACGGCACCATGTAACATAATACAATCTATTCAAAGTGAAAATGGAAACCGGTAAACCTCCCATATTACCCATTCTAAAATATCACGAAGGATCCAACATTACGCACTAATGATCTATTAGGGTATGAAATAATTTTATTTACTTTTTTGTTAAAAGGGTTCCTCATTACGAGTTTCGTTTGATCCGTTGTCTTGAAAATGTGGCAGAAGATTTTCAATAAAGATTTCGGTCTTTTCAAAGAATTTCCGCTCATCCATCCTCCTGAGCAGGCACCTCTGGTGGGAAGCCTTTCAATTATAACACAAATGCAAGCTTCAGTCGAAATTCTTGCCACTATCAAAGTTTTTACTACTTTTCATCTCACCCGTGTTAGTGTATTATTTCCGTTCCCATGATCCTTCAAAACTTGCCATTTCCGTCCATCGAATACGTTTCGTGCTTTGATTTTGATCAACAGAATGCAAAGAGACTTGATCGCAGGAAAATATATTTTCTTCCAGGCAGAATAGCAGCGTCTTTAAAATTCTGCTCTGATTTTGACCATGTAATAAACAGACACAAGTTCTTAAAGATTTGATTTTTCTCAGGCACAGATAGAAAGGGAATAAGTAGTGAAACTTAGTCAAGTGGTTTGTAACTGATTCAAAGCAGAAGATTCTTTCCTTCAATTTCATTTAATTCGTCTTACGTTTTTTTCTCTGTTTCTTTACTTTTTTTTACATCGACTTTTTTAGTCAATTGCTAGTGAAATTGAAGTAAAATGCTTAATATTAAAATATTTAAAAATATCGTTGATACAAAACCAAGTTAGACGACAAGCCACTCTTATTTAGCTAATATTTTAAATCTATATTGAACTGACAGGATTTAAAATGTACATAGTTTAAAAAAATAAACCATTCACTGAAGTTGAAAAGGTGTTTTAAGAGTGAAAGAATCCTCGAGTGCAAATATTTTGATAGATAAGCTTATATATATATATATATATATATTTAGTTGATTGATGTGAGTTTAGACCTGGGTTTCACGCTTTTACGATCGTCAGGGTTTGTCTGACGATCGCAAAAGCATGAAACCTAGGGATCACACTCACATCAATCCAACCAAATATGTTAGCTCTATTTCTGATATTGAGCGCTTTTAATAAGTACCGCGCATATAGTATATAAATGATTTTTTATATATATATATATATATATATATATATATATATATATATATATATTTTCACACACACACACACACACACACATATATATATATATGGATTTTACTTCATGTTAATTACTACAGGAAAAGCATGAACCTTAAGCCTTTTAGAACCGACAATAATCCATCTGCAATAACAGATGAAATCAAGAAATAACTACATGGAGAGTGAGAGATACAACAAAACAGAAATACATATTTGGTTATGTGTAAGTGACACAGACGCACACGCAAACAGAGAGACGCAAACACAGACACATATGCAGAGACACACACACACAAATATAGACAAACAATAAACACACACGCATGCACGCAGACACACAAATAGAGATGCACACACAAGAAGACACACGCACACACACAAACACACAAGTAGATGCACACAAGCAAACACACACAAACACAGAAGTAGATACACTCATAAGCAGATACTCACACAGTTGTTGGTTTTTGTTTAGCGGCATAACAAACTGTTAGTTATTTAATGACAAATTCTAAATATTTTGCATGCAATTTTATTTTATTTTTTATTTTATTTTCTTGGGATAATAATTGTTTTAGTCATACAAGTTCTACTGATTAACTCATAGCTGGAGGGAGAAGAGGTTGATTCATACCCCTTTCCCAATGGTATCTGCGCGTAAATGAATTGGAACTCGGCTCTTTGATTAAAAATTTCAATGCATTATCCATTCTACCACCCGAACATTCAATCTTACAGCATCTAATATTCCCAAGCTTAACTTCGGTGATCGTACGGGAACCTGTGTTTTAACGCCATATGACCGTATATGACACATAAATAGAGAGAAACATAGACACAGACAAATAGACAGGCAAGACAGAAGAATGTAAATGAAATATCAAACAAAGCTGCGAGCTCGGTGCTTTGCTGGAGAGTTTTACTGCTGACACGTTCATAGCCAACTGGTTATCGAACATAGTTTTGTTCTTATCGGCAAACTTTATCAACCTTTCCATAAATGAGCATAACTTAGCAAGTTTTAACTCTTTGAAAGGCTAAAGTAAAGAGAACGGAATTTCGACTAAAAAACGAAAAAAAAAATGTAAAGTGGTATCAAAATTACAACAATAAATAGAAACATCCATTTATGTAGTTAACGAAAGCAAACAAATCATTTATAATTGTTTATGCAGTTAAAAGGAATTAAGTGGAACGACATCAGTAGCATAAAGTTTAGTCAACCAATAAAAATAATCAGTGAAATTTTATGAAGAACTGAATTTTGTTTAATATATATTTTCTTAAAACAATTTGGAAGAATGAGAGTTCGATTTGAAAAGGGAAAGAAATAACCGAATTCGAATCGATTCCATTTTTATAAAATTATTCCCTGTTTATTCTTTCATTTACTCGTTCACTGTCTGTTACTTTCATTTTTCGTTCACTGTCTTTTTCTTTCACTTTCTTGTCACCTTTTTCTTTCTCTTCCTTGTTCATCGTCTTTTTCTTTCTCTTTCCTGTTCACCGACTTTCTCTTTCATTTCATTATTTACCTTCTTTTGCTCTTACTTGTTTATCTTCTTTGTATTTCACGTTCTTGTTCACTGTCTTTTTCTGTCATTTCCTTGTTGACCGTCTCTTACTTTCAGTATCTTCTTCAACGTCTTTTTTTATCTTCTTTGTTCGTTTTCTTTCACGTTCTTGTTCACGTTATTCACCGTCTCTTTCTGTCATTTCCTTGTTGAACGTCTCTTACTTTCAGTATCTTCTTCAACGTCTTTTTCTTACACTTCTTTGTTCGTTTTCTTTCTTTTTTATTCTTCACGGTCTTTCTATTTCATTTCGTTATTCACCGTCTCTTTCTGTCATTTCCTTGTTGACCGTCTTTCCTTGTTCTTCAACGGTCTCACTTCTTTGTTCGTTTTCTTTCTTTTTTTGTTTACGGTCTTTCATTTCATTTCGTTATTCGTCTCTTTCTGTCATTTCCTTTTGAACGAATACTTTTATCTTCTTTCTTTTTTACCTTCTTCGTTTTCTTCTTCTTTTTTTATTCTTGATTTCTATTTCATTTCAGGTTCACCGTCTCTTTCTGTTTTTTTTGTTTTCAGTATCTTTTCAACGTCTTTTTCTTACACTTCTTTGTTCGTTTTTTTTTTTTTATTCTTTCTTTCTATTTCATTTGTATACCGTCTCTTTTCTGTCATTTCCTTGTTCTTACTTTCAGTATCTTCTTTCATCTTCACTTCTTTGTTCGTTTTCTTTTTTTTGTTCACGGTCTTTCTATTTCATTTCGTTATTCACCGTCTTTTTGTCATTTCCTTTTGAACGTCTCTTCTTTTGTTCGTCTTTTTCTTACACTTCTTTGTTCGTCTTTTTATGGTCTTTTTCTAATTTCGTTCCATGTTCACTTGGTCACTTTCTTGTCTGGAATAATTTTCTTTCATTTCCTTCTTCATCTTCTTTTGATTTCACTTTCAGGTTCACCGTATTTTTTTTTTGTTTTCACTTTTCGTCCGCCGTGTTTTGCTTTCACTTCCTTGTATACCGTCTCTTTCTTTCTCTTTCATCTTCACCGTTTTTTGTTTTCACTTTTTTGTACACTGTCTTTTGCTTTGACTTTCTTGTTCACCGTCTTTTTATGTCAATTCCATGTTCACGGTCTTTTTCGTCCCCGCCGTTGTTCACCGTCTTTTGCTTTCATTTCCTTGTTTACCGTCTTTTTCTGTCATTTTCTTTTTCATCGTCTTTTCGTTCACTCCCTTGTTAACCGTCTTTTTCTTTCATTTCCTTGTTTATCTTCTTTTACTTTCACTTTATTGTTCACCGTATTTTGCTTTATATTTCTTGTTCACGGTCTTTCTATTTCGTTTCATTGTTCACCCTCTTTTTCTGTCATTTCCTTGTTCACGGTCTTTCTCTTTCACTTCTTTGTTTACCATCTTCTGTTTTCACTTCCTTGTTTACCGTCTTTTGCTTTTACTTTCTCGTTCACCGTCTTTTTCTGTCAATTCCTCGTTCATCGTATTTTTCTGACATTTCGTTGTTCACAGTCTTTTTTCTTTCATTTTATTGTTCACCGTCTTTTTCTTTCCCTTTTTTTTGCGCACGGTCTTCCTCTTTCATTTCCTTGTTTACCTTCTTTTGCTTTCTCTTCCCTGTTTAACGTCTTTTGCTTTCACCTTTTTGTTTACCGACTGTTTCTTTCACCGTTTGCTGATTTCTACTTTCTTTTTCTCAGCTTTTGCGTTCACTTTCTTGTTTATCGTTTTTGCTTTCGCGCGTTTTCTTATTCCCTGCGTCTCGCTGTCTTTCGCTCTTTACCCTTTTCCTCAATTTTCATATATTGATCCTACTCTTTTTTTGGTATCAGTTCCTTTATACAACTACACCGACACCAATTGACTATTTTCATTTTTTCTTATACCAAATCCGTCGTTGTAGTCACTATTACCTTCATTTTGTTTAACTATGATGACTACATTTCTTAATGCAATTAGGTTTTTTAACAAATTTGCAAAGAAATTAGTCTCATTTGAAAAGCAATATATTATTCTTTTGCAATATGCAGGAAATGTTTAATGAAATTTCTATTTTGATATAAAAATATATGAAGTGTTTTAAAGCCGACAAACAAATGTCAATTGTTTATTGATGAAATGTCCAAATATTACGACTATTAGGAATTTTTGTTTAAAATTTGTTTTCGTAAAAATAAATTGCCACACATGATTGAAATTCGCAGATGAAGCCATGTATAATTGATGCCAATATTTTAGTGAATCTTGAAAATATCTTTTAACACGCCCAAACATCGTGGCTTGAAGTAAATCGATTGCTTCTGGAAGATTCCGCATTTATTATGCTTTCCTCTTTTGCTGTAACTGCCCCAACTTCTTCATTACGTCATTCTAAACTTTTAACCTCTTTTCTTGTAAGTAACGATTATTTTAACGTGACAAGTAGTATAAGCTGATGATACACTATTTATCTTTTCCATTGTTGTGTTAATAAAAACGCACTTGCTTTTATTGATTTCCTTAAGATTTTGGTCAACTCTTGTGCTATTCACTTTATTTTACATACATTTTTTCATTAAGGATAATCTCCCTTCGATAGCTATTTTTGATAGAAATGTTCTGTAAAACAAGAATTTTCTTCTTTCTTCCTTTCAAGCATAAATCGAACTCTGCCTACAGATGAACTAAAGGTTAGCTTTCAAACTTGTCGGTTGAAGACTTCCTCTTTTGTCCAAGAACAACAGGATAACATAGAATCTTGAAAGAGAAAAGCTAGACATCCGCCCCCAAAAGGTCATGCGCAGTATCCATAAAAATCTTTGCAGATGAATCTGTCAGTTGATGCATAGGGAGTGGCTATTGTTTTCATTTGAAGACGGTAACCAAAATACAAAGACATTCTAGTGACGCATGAATGTTTTCAAACAAATATATATATATATAATATAGGTTTATGAGAGTTCTATCACCACACGTGCGCACACACACACACACACACACACATATATATATATATATATCGTTATCACTAGCATCAGCAATGATTGCTGGTCTACTGCAGGACAAAAGTCAAAGTCTCTCCCAAATCCTTTCAAGATGACCGTCACTGTGCTATTTCCTATCAGGTTCCATTATCAAACATTATCTGATCATTCCAACATAATCTATCTAGCAACTGCGGCAGCTAAAATCTTAACAACCTTTCAAGTAACATTTTCCTCTTATTTTTCTTGTTAGGTGTTCTTTCTTACGTTTATTTTACTTTAATAAGACATGTTTTATTTTCTGCTATAAACTGGTATTAAACATTGCATTGATTTTTGTGCCTTTTTCGTGTTTTTATCCTGTCTGGTATTATACATCACTACGAACGTGTTGTATTTTGTTTAACGATCTAAAGCAAAGCTTTTATTGAACACAACATTGGAAAATCTGACTTGCAGTTGCATAAAAATCGCAGTGACTGAATTTTCCAGAACGAAAAACAATTCCTTGTCCGGTGGCAGAAGCTGATGATAGTACCGGGTGTGGCAGTACCGCCTTAGCCACCGAAATTCTGTTACCGCCCCTGGTTGGCGAATGATGAGGGCAAGGTATCGATCGTACTTCACACGTTGTATTTAGAAAATATTCATTATCCATATTTCGTTTTAAACATACTGACAGGATGATTCTGATACCTTACTTTTTGTTCAATGCTTTTCACTTTATTTCGTTTTATTTTCATTGTCTCTCTTTGTTATTTCCTGTTCTAAGTATATGTATTCCAGGACGTCTTCGAGTTCTTCATCTCGGTGATCCCTTTCGAGTAGTTATTCCCTTCTTTTTACTTGCTTCCCTGATAACTACAATCTTCAAAAATTTAAATGCAACGTCAATCGCCATCTTCTATCTTCTTGAAACCCGTTCAGCTTTAATCCTTCTCCTCGCCCCCCCCACTATACCAAGTTTTTGTCTCACCTTCTCTCTCTGTAACCCCCCCTACCTACCAGTCGCATTCCACTTAGCTTGGGATGAAATGATGATGATGATGATGATATATATATATATATATATATATATATATATATATATATATATACATTTGCTATAACTATCCAAGTGATATCAGCTTATGCCCAAATTGGGAAAAAGTGTTGTTTCTGAAAGAGAGAATTCTGCACAACATTAACTAATCTATATAATAGAAAAACAGAAAAAATATGCATTAATGCAGATCTTAAATCTACCTATAGTATATATAAACGCCACTGCCCCTTTGGTGACAAGAAGTTGTCATCCTTTGAAACAAGCCTGAAAGAGCAATGAAGAACTCTTATTAAATTTTTGTTATTCAAAACGATATTCCATACGAAACAGTGTTTGGCCACCGGGTCACATGAAGTATCCCCGATTACGTAACCAACAATATTATTGACGTTAACATCTCGGGCTCTTGGTTAAGATATTTGTAACAGATGTTAGGTTATGAAACTCTTACTTTGAATCTGATAACAGACTACTTTTAACTAAACTGACAACACCAGCCAACAAAATAACTCGTTCATATAAAACATGAAAGACACTTACCTATCACGTTGAAGCCCTTAAAGATGAAATCCTAAGGGTTGAATTCTGTGAAAAACTAGTCCAAATTAATGCCCCCTAAATCTTGATCAAAACAATATAGATGAATCAAATAGTGTAATAAGATCTTCGTCGGCTGAAGAACGAGAACCCATTCCAAGAAAATATTAATGCAAGAAACAAACAGTAGAAGAAGAAATTGGAAGGAAGAACACGAAACAATTAACTATGAACAAATAGTTATTGCTCTGAGAAACCAATAACCCTGGAAAATTAGAAACCAAATTAATGAAGCCGAACAGTGTAGACAGTGTGACGAACTGTGGAGTAAAGCGAACAAACACGATAACATAGAATTGAAACTAACACAGAAGCAATGTCCTGGTCTGAAAGAAAAAGACTGAGTTATACTTCAACTCTGACCATAATAAACTTATAATGCACGTGGAAATAGAACATACACCAATATGCAACAAATCATTGCTTGACATTTAGACTGAACTTTTGAAACTAGCTTTCTTTCTCTACGAATTGAACAATTTCTCAATTTCATAAAGGACGGGAAACACATCCTCCAAATATTGGCTATATTGCGCATTAATGGACTATGGAAAGAAAAAGGTAATCCTCAAAACTGACGGGCATAGGGGGGTATTACAATGGGATCCATTCTGCTGAACGTATTCATGAGCATTGTATTAACTATGATGTCATCGTTTTATGAAAGTCAACTCCTAAGTTATCAAACAACTCTAGGAAATTGCATAGCTCTCCATTAGGAAAGTGTATATTTGCTATGTCGACATCACAACAGCATAGGACCACATCAGTAGAGCCCTAATCTATTCGAAACCGTCTTCCAAACTGACTTCACTGAATATCTATATCGGATACAGGAACAATATCGGTTCATGCTGGCCCGGGCTTCAGAATACGCCGACTGCACCTCTGCAGAGGGGTAAGACCCCTCCAAATTAGGCGTCCTGGGTAAGACGATAAACTACATCCGCGTCCTGGGTAAGATGATAAACTACGTCCAACAGCAAGGCCTCTGATCAGGAGGTTTTGAGGATCGTGGAACCATATCTTAATTACTGGTGTTTTAAGGTCCACCCTGCCCCGGGGTGATAGCACCTGATAGGGTCCCAGTTATGGGCAAATAGTTGACGCGCAAATAGGGGTCAAAACGCTGTGGAGGTGTAAAAATAGGTATTAATACAGCAATAATTTTCTTGATGGAAAAATTATTAACAGCGATACATTTTTGAAGAAAGTTATTACCAGCAATATAGTTTTGAAGGAAAAATTATTATCGGAGAAATAGTAGTAGAGTTTTGGAAAAAAAAATACCTGCAATAGGTTTTTGAAGAAAATATTACCAGAAATAGATTTTTGAAGGGGAAAATTACCAGCATTACTTACTATGAATGTGTAAAAATAGGTTTTAATACCAGAAATACTTTGTAAAAATTTATTACCAAAAATACATTATTACCAGCTATACATTTTCGGAAAAAATATTACCAGCAATAAAAATTGTCGGGATTAAATAACCCATTGAGGTTGATATGCCGCAAACCAAACCAAACAGTTCATACGATCCTCAGACGACTAGAATATATATATATATATATATATATATAATATATATATATATATATATATATACTGGTATTTGTGATTATGTCACTATGAAAATCTATCATCTGTGTTGTATGGTTATGTACTTCTGTACATAGATATGTGTGAAAGCATGTCTCCGAATGCATCAGAGTGATTTTACCTGGGTAATTGTTCTCTGAATACACAATATAAAACTATGAATCAAGGGAAGAATTTGCTCATTTTCTTAAAAGTTAAATTGATGTAGAGAGACATGCACTAAGCGAAACCTACATTTTCAAGTTGATTTTTATTCTTTTAAAAACAATTCCTCTTATGCAAATGAAAAAGCTATCAAATTTCTATTATTTATTTCATTTCATCGCTGCAGTTGAATGTGTGCAAAAGTTTAATGAATTCAATCAAAACAGAAATTTCTTTGAATATTTTGCTTTCAAGTCTTTTTGTTTATTTTTAATAAATCAGGCAAAAGCTCTTAAGATCTCCACGCTGATATACAAGTAACGATGTGTAATGGCTGAAAATGCAAATTGACGTACGAACTAAAAATATACGGAAATGAATGAAACAAGATGATGATGTTATTAGAAGTGAAGTAGAAAAAGACTTGTTTTTTTTTTCAATAGTTTTTATTTTCTGTTTAACGGCATATAATGAAGTGAACTGAAATAGTCAATGAACACTGAAAGGATTAAAGTAGTTTTTATGATAGTAGTACAAGAGAAAGTAAA